TATATATATATTCCATGCATACACAAATACCTATATACATGTGTAATATATAATATATTTTTAACTGAATTTTTTTGTCTTTATACATTAGAAATGAAAACTAAACCCTTTATTCCCACTTTCAAGGTGATTTTTTCTATCATCTATAAATTATACTTTTCTCAGCCAGCTGAATGTGAACCATGGAACCAGAAGAGGGCACTGTTAGGTTGCAGGACTGTTGGGCCAGATTTGGAAAGCGCCATAAATCTGAACTTCCATAATTTAAAGTGCTTGAAGGATGCCAGCAGAAAGCAAACATGAACCCACCTCTGGGTGACAGTAACCTGTTTTCATCCAGATTTCTATTTTAATTGAGAAGTTGGATGATTCATTGTCATTTCTTTTGGAAATTAGCTTTTTGGATCTAGGCCAGGAATTTTTTTCCTATGTATACAACAATAAGGGGCATTAACTGTTTTTAATTCCAAATCTAAAGACAAGAACTGTGGAGTTTCAGTAACAGTCTCAGAAGATGAAAAATAAGAAAATGATTTGGAGGTAGACTAAAGATAGGATTTTTTTCCTTTGGTTATTTTAATACAATATTTTACTATGATTTTTTTTTAGAATGCTAAGATACTAAGAAGAAATAAAAAGTCTTACTATCTCCCTAGACATTCAAAAATAAATAAGTAAAAGTTAGAAGTGGTATAAGGTTAGAAAATTGAATGTTCAGAAAGATACCAAATTAAAAATAAATTTTAAAAAATCCAAAGTTAACCACTGTGATCACTTTCTAACAGTCGCTTGGGGAAAGGGGCAGAACATATGTTTGTGTAGGTGTACACACAGACACACACAGATGCGTATGTGCTGGTTTCTATTTCACAAAGGTAATTACATAATCCGTGTTCTGCATGTAGTTTTCCTTGCTGTTGTTTTTAACTTAATGATATATCTTGATAATTTTCCCATATAACATGTCTTTCCTCCTCATTCTTTTCAATGGGTTTTTAATAGCTGCATACAATCCCATTGTATGGATTTATCATCATTTAAAACTAAATCTCCATGAATGGGCATTTCGGTCGTTTCCAGTTTTCTAATATTATTTTTAAAATGCTCCCATGAACGTCCTGCACATATGTCCTGATGAACATTTGAACGTATTTCCTCAGGGTAGGTTGTGAGCAGCGGGACTGCTGACTGGCCGGTCATAATAATCTGGCCACTCAGTG